TCAAGATTATTGAATAAGGGTCTCAACTTTGCCACAACCATCAAGCGGGCTATCAAGATTAGTTAAAATAAACACTTTTTTTTAACTAAAAAGAAAATCCGCTTAAGTATCCACTCACCAGCAACTTTCAATAATTGTTGTGCTTTTTATTATTTATCTTTTTGTTTAATGAAACTTTTTAGGTACCTCCACTTTTTCACTGAAAAAAATAGCATAGCATGATGAAAAAAGACCCCAAACTTAAGTTTTATCATTAAAATGTTTATGTTAATATTAAGAGGAAAGACCAAAGTATTTTTTTGTATTTTTTTATCCTTTCTAGAACATTCGAAATTTTGGTTAAAAATCTTTCTTTTTTTTCATCAGCAGTTGACGTAATATTTACAATTATAGATTTTTCACTTTTTTCCCCAGTGAAAAACACAGTAATTTGGAAATTCTTGCAAAATTCAAATAATTGTTAGATTGGTTTGGTTTTGTCTGGTTTACAGCAAATCAACCTCAATGGGTTATTTAATGCAGGCAATATTTTTTCCTTCAAAAATCTATTTTTGATAATATTTTTTTTCAAAATGTATAGCTGGTAATAATTTTTTTTTTACAAAGTATTTCTGGTAGTAAAACCTATTTTTACACTTTTATAGTGCTTTGACATTTGGGAGATAACTATTTGTCCATAGCTGGGACCCTAACAGGTGCTACCACCCCCGGGTCAGGGTAGACCTGCGAACACCAGCAATTAAGTGGTGGTTCCATGCTCCTCAAAACCTCCTTGCTGTCAGGACTTATTCACAAATGAATGAAATAATTTTTTTATTTTTACATATGTTACCCCACACTTACTTAATTTGATGAAAATTTTTTTTTTATTGGAGAATGTAAATTAAATTTTTTTTTTCAAACTACTACTCATAAAATAAAAAAAATTTAATAAAACCAAGACATTAATTAGAAAAGCTTTTATAAATAAGATTTATCAAGAACACTATTGTCTTAAGAAAAAAATTTTTTCAATGAATAATGAATTTTTACAAAAATTGTTTTCATTTTTTTTAAATTTTAATTATGATAATTTATAATATATAAATCTTTTAAAATTCTGCATTACTTTCATCCAGTTATGTGAAAACTAGTCAAAAATTGAAAAACTTGATACAAACTATTTTGCTCAAGATTCTTAAAATAATTTTTTTTATGTATATAAAATATTATGTAACATGCCCGTTTGAAAGTATGGTTGACCATACACAACATTATTAGAAAATAAGAGCAATGACTGTAGTAAATTTCAAGTCCACATTCCTAAAATTAGATTATGGAAAGTATTCTCCAACATTTTTAAGATTACTGAGTATTTAGAGAAAAAAGGGGTGGGGGCACTCACCCATCAGTGTGTGGTAACAATGTTAAGTGATTTCGCAAGCAATGAAATCACCACTACTGTTTGTTTTAAAAATCCATTTCTCTGTTTCAAATAAGATTAATTATACTTTAAATCTGCTAATATTCCTCAAATAAAGTTTCAGAAAAGTATATTTTATTTTTAGAAGATTTTTAAAACCGAACATTAACTTTTCTTTACAAATGTGTCAAAAATGGCCAATATTTATTGATTTTCTGAAAGCAACCAAAAAGTTGAGATTCCAATCAATATAATTTCTATTTGAAATACACCAGAGTATTTTGCTTACTGGAAAATGGAAATAGTAAATTTAATCATTTAGCTTTCAAAAGCTACTTTTTCACTTTTAAAAATTCGTTTTTTTAAACCTTAGGTATCGAAAATTATTGGAGGTAACTACTTTTTAAAAATGGTTCATTGGGTAACTATTTTGGAGAATAGTCTCTCTGTAGTTGTTATTTAAAGGGAAAATAGATTTCTCACAAAAAATTGGGGAAATAAGCGAGTTGGTTTTTAAAATTGACCATATGTTTTCTCTACAAAGACTTTTTTAACTAATGCTATCAGTTTCGAGTTTCGTTTGTACATGGTTCTTTTTTTTCTTTTCTTTTTTTTGTTCTTTTTAAGAAATTTTAAGCAAAAAGAGAACAAATAACAATAAAGAAGCACAGTAAAGTATAGCTGCATTTTTTTTTATGACAAGCTTTCTTTCTAGGTCTCCTACAAATCTAAGAATTTTTCGAATTAGTGCCAATGCGAGGAGATATACAAAACAAGTTAGTAAATGTAATAAACTAAATTTTAAAGTTCGAGGGAAACGTAGAGGTCAATCAGTTTCGGTTGACAAAAAAATATATAAATGTTTAAAAATGGAATTAAAGATAAAAACACACACAAAATATTTTTATTTTTTTTTTACGGCAGGGTAGCAATTCAAACCAATTCAATAAGTACGGAGAACAAATGTAATTAGCACGTTACAAAAATGCCAACAAATCATTTCGTAAAAGAAATAAAAGAAAACAAAGCGACAGTGACATAGTAATTTGTTTACCTTTTTAGAGCAAACAATCTACCTCCTCAACAACCAGAGTGACAACACACCTTGATGACAAACCAGATATATTGGGGTTTATTTCGTTGTTTTTTTGTTTTTTTTTACTATGGGGTCACGGAACACTGATCATTTTTTATCCCATTGTCCAGAATTGTATTTCATTTACACACACAATAGTACCCATTCACATAAAATAAAAATCAAGATAACAACCTGTAGCTCAACAGAAATATGTAGTTCTTTCACAGGGAAAGTGAAGATCATTTAAGACTTTTAAATAATAACTGTTCTAGTGCTTTTTTATTTTTATTTTAAATAAATTTTGTTTTGTTGTCAAGTTTTCTCATAAAAAAAAAAACAAAAAAAACAAACAATGACAAAGCAATTTTCTTTCATGACCTCAATATAGAACAAAGGAATGAATTATATCACTATAATTTTGTAAAAATAAATTAGCTTGAAGGAAACTAGCATATTTAATATCAACATACATTTTTTAACCTTAAAATAGAGAATATAGACACATTTCTTCTAAACAAAGTGAGATTTGTATCGTTTTTTTTTCTTTTTTCAACAACACATATGGTTATTTATAGTTTGGTAGATTATTCTGGTAAAACAAAAAGAAAAACACAGGTTATTACATTTAATCCTTACGGAAATAACTTCAAGAAGCTAACTTTAAAGAATTAAATAACAAAATAATATGAGATTAAAAATTTACACGAATAAAAGAAATAATTAAGTTGGCTATGTATGCAGTTATTCATTCACTTTTTATACACCAGACATGTCACGATTGGACATCCGTAACTTTTTATGACACGTATTTTCCCACCAACTGTAGATTTTCATGAAGAAATTTTTATGGGAAGAAAAATAAAAACAACACAACGATGGAATCAAACGAAGAAAATAATACGAATGAGACCATTAAAATTTTATATCTTCATGAAAAATATTCAAAAGTTTACTACTTAAATGATGAAAAAATTTCAAGACATCAAGGAAGTATTCTTCTTTTTTTTTTTTTTTGTCAAAATATGAGTAGTTTTTTTACTTTCCAAGATTTGATTTTAAAAATAGAAATCATGTAAAAAAAAAAAAAAAAAAAAAAAACTGTTCCAGACTCTTAAACGGTAAATTTGACACATGATAAATTTTTTTAAAAAAAAGTTTGCAGATTTCGCAAAATTAAAATTAACACTTGTTTTAAAAAAAACTAAAAGTATCCATTACAAAAAAAAAAAGTGAACGACGAAAATTATTAAGATTTAAAAAAAGAAATTAAAAAAAAAAAAATTAACTTACCTACCTTTTTAGTTAAAAATTAATTTTTAAAAAAGATAGGTAAATTAAATTAATATTTTTTTTTTTAATTAAAAAGAGTAAATTATAGTAGTCGCGGGAGTAAACTAGGATTGTAATCATGTACCCAACTCTTCTTTTAAAAACATATACGAAGGGATACAATTTATTTTTTAATCTATCAATATTTATTTTATGAGGGTAATTAAAAAAAAGAGAGAGGGGGGACAACGGTCAAATGATGGGATATTAAATCAAGGAAATAAATATGTTTTTAAGTCAAGAGAGTCACACTTTCTGTTTATTACGAAAACGACTCGAGAGGTAACCGTAACATGGATTCATTTTTTTTTTTTTTTTTGGTTCATGAACACGCTTGTCTTTTTTTTCTCATGCTTTTGTTCTTGTATTTCTTTCCAAACCCCTTTTTTCGTTTTTTCATCTTTCATCATGAATCGCAGAAGGAGAACGCCAACCACTAACGGAATTCATTTCAACATCGCAACAACAGAATGAACAGATGGTTAGGAAAAAATAAAGGCATTTTTCTCAATTGAACGATAAAAAATATTGCGATGATATTCCTACACGACATAGTCTTGAACAACAAAGTTTTACTGAGGAGGAGGAGAAAATAAATTTTAACTAATATAATTACAATTTACATTTTCGAGCTTATGAGATTCCGGAGAAGGTGCTCTTTCTAATAATGGACCGATCAACAAATCCGGGAAAATCGCCTTGAAATACCATGATCGCTTTCAAACGACATTACTTGTTATATATATATATATATATATATATATATATATATATATATTATATGCAATATTTATGTGCGTGTATGTGTTTTTCACTTGTTAGCAGGGAATCAAACAAGAAACGAATATGAAACGAAATATTATGAAAATCATTAGGAGAAAAAATATATTTTAAATGTTATGAAAAAAATGTTTAACCTTTTTTAAAGATTAGTTTGAATAAACAAAACCGTTCTCGACCAAGTCAAAATACGACATTACAATAAACATTAAATTGTGCTATAGTGAGTCAGCGAGTTATTGTAGCGTCAAAAAAAAATCCACAGAAGGAGGGTAAAAGAACACGAAAGAAAGTAAACAAAACCACTGCTGTTAGAGCCAAATGCAAACTACCAAGAAACAAGATATGTTTCTTTTTAATACGAATGTCTTTTAAAAAAAACTATCCTAAATAGTCGTTTGGTGTACTCACCACTGCAATCTTGCAAGAAGCAATCCTCACCTGCTCCTGCCGCCATCTTAGAAACTCGAATGTTATTATGGCTGGCAAGAAATTGACTCCTGACGCTGGAGAGTTCTAACAACTGTTTCGGGGTCAAAGGTAAATTTAACAATTAAATTAAAAATAGTTTTCTGATAGCTACAAAAACACCAGTTGACTTTGACAGATATCAATAAAATGTTTTTCTTCGTTTGTTTTTTGATTTTATTTTTCTTTCGCTGTGTTTTCATAACTTTTCGTCAATTTGTATAACCCACATAACATGTTTTCTTTTCTTTTTTTTTTAGTGATGCTTAATTTAATTAAATAAAATTATAACTAACTATTGCATCCACTACTATTATTTAGCGTTTGATGGTTTTACATATAAACAACTCAAAGAAAGTTATAACTGTTTACTCAATAAGGTATGAAGTGGTGCAGCTTTATTGCAAGGGTGGGCAAAGTTTTCATTGGAAGGGCCACATCAAAAAATTGACAATTTTATTGGGCCGCATAGTATATTATTAACCCTTTTCATCAGCACTCTCCCACACATGCACACATCTGCGAGAAGAAAACAAAATGCTCGCAGTATTATTTGGTGTTGCTTGGTAACTTTCTCTTTCAAATTTACTAACATTTGGTGGGATGCATGAATTCTTTTGAAGGGCCACAGTTTACCCACCCCTGCTTTAGACAGATAGGTGGTTATAGTCATTGGTAAAAGTAATGGTAATATTTAGTAGTTTCCTTATAAGGAATCATTCAATATTCCGTGATAGAATAGTCAATGGTACTTTTGCTTGAAATTGATAAAATTTTTCTGTTAAAACAATTTCTAAAGAAAATATGTTTCTCAAGTCCACTGAATGTTATTGCTCTTTCCAGTAGTGATAGAGACTTCCTTCCTAACCTTTTATTCAAAGTAATGTGAACGTGAAAAAAGTGAATATATGATTATTTTCTCTTCAAGTTACACATGCTGTTGTTACTGCTGTTGAAAGTCCTCAAATAATAGATTTTCTGTTATTATAGTATGGCTCAGTTATTGCTCGCCATTTCCACTGAGTTCAAGATTGTGAAAAAAGGGCAAGCAATAACTTAGCATTAATAAAAATAAGAACTAGATATCTCTAGACATGGACTGTGAAACAAGAACAGTCTACCACTGTAGATTAAATAAAGAGTTTGATTTGGAATTCCCAGTATGTTACCCAATATGCACCTGATGAAAGCTGGAGGGCACAACAACCAAAAGTTTGTGATAACAACATAAAAAGATGGAGAAAATAATCTGCATTTAAATAGTATAAATAATGATAACTCTTTATGTCAGAAATTCAGACAGAAATTTTCATTTGTTTTAACCATTAATGTCTGTTGATGAATTTTTTCATTGGATCTACTCTTTGGAAATTTTGCATACTTTTCTAATTTCATTGATTGACTAAAGTAGCTTAGTCTGTGGAATCTTCCATGTCAGCCAGTCACCCCTGTGTGGGTAAATAAACTATTCCCTGTAAGTGCATATATGACAAGCATTCATTGGTTAATCTACTCAAAACTAGCTCGCTGATTGGTCAGCTCTGACCAATCAAACCGCCTGCACGTGACAAATCTGTTTTCCCGCTCAATATGTTCTGAGCCTCTAATGTGGTACAACAAAATTATAAAAACAAAACATGTGTAAACTCTCTCTCTCATGTCTCATTCCTTGCTGCCAAGATGTAATCTTCAAGAACTTCCGTCTTAACCTAATTCAGTCAGACATTAAAGACCATTACCAACATTCACACAAGTACGAACTCTGAAATTAACCAACTTTACAACTCACAATTCCAAACATGCTAAAGAAACTTTATTCTTCTAAACTACAGTTTAATAATTACTTTCAATTTATGAGCTCAAATACAAATATTTCCAAATCTAAGAGACATAACTCTATCACACCTTCAACTCTTATGCTTGTACACCAAAATTCAACTGTTATGTTTTGAAACAATATGTTTATGAATCTTTATTCTCTATCTTGTATTAATTGTTGTGGATGGAAGATTATTGAACACACAATTTTAAGCCTTCTAATTCAAACCTTCCATTCCTTTCCAACACACATCACACATCTGCAACAAGTCCTTGTCATGCTTGAAAATGAATGTAAAAGATAATTATGGAAAAGTGGTTTGTCCAAGTCCTTACTCATCCTCTCTCTTTTCAAGTGAAAACCATTGTATACCAAGCAATTTTTTTCTTTGATACTTTTATTTTTATTAAAACTATCTAGTAATGTAACAGGGTGCGGACAAAATAGTTTTGCTTATATCTATATAGTATCTTAGATTGATACATACATACATATATATATATATATATTATGTCCAAGTGTCTATATATATATATATATATATATATATAATTTTAAGGTACGCTATATTTATGGGTTAAAGTGCTCAATATCAGAGATAGAGCAAATGTAAATATAGAAGTGGACATTGAAAGACACTGTTTCATGATAAACGCAATCATCAGGCTATGTGCACCATGCCACACAAGCAGGAGAACCCAGTCAATTTCTGCAACAACAGTCAAAATGTTGTGAATATGGCATTAAAGATGAGGACATCAGTTCAAACACTGTAAATAGTGTAAAAGGGTAAAGTTTAATCATTTAAACTGCAACCACATCACCCCCTTACATCTGACCATCTAATTCCCCTGACTGCAAACCTCTTGATTATTATGCACCAACTTAACCAAGGAGACCGTCCAAAAGAGATTCAGGAGATTCTGAAGTCATCTGGAGGATGTGGTTGAAGCCAATGGTGATTTTATTGAATTAATTTACTCTTTAGTATTTCAAAATATTTTTGTGTAAGTTCGGTAAATACATCTGTTAAAATGAGATGTTAGTGTTATTTTCATTTTTGTTTAATTTAGATGACAATTTATCCATCGCCCCTGTGTTATATATAGATATATCAATGGTGACTCAGTGGCTTGGGCTTGTCAAGCTTAGCTTGAGTGAGTCAATATTCATGTATATCTATTTCAAAGCAACAAAAATCTTTCATGGGGCATTGTTTTCATTCTTGACCAGTTGGATCTAAAATTAATGGTTTTAACTCTATGCCTTAAAATATTGGATGAAATACATTTTGTTGATATTGTTCATAATAAAGATGAAAGAAAGAAAAAAACAAAGAAAGAAAGTAACTAACTAAAAGAATGAAATAAAATTAACATGGCTAGTCAGACTGCTATAGGCTGGAGACATACTTAATAGGCAATATATTTCTTACTTTAATTTTATAAATAATCTTTTAAAAATCTCTAATGATTTGTATGCCCTGTTTTTCAATGAACACATTTTTATTTCAACTTATTGTTTTTGAATGTCCATTTTAAATAATTTATTCCATACAATATATTTTTAGCAGAATGTATCAATTTAAAAAGGGCAAATTAAATTTAGGCTGACTTAAAAAGTTGGCGAAAATCAAAGAAAGTGGCAGCCTTAACCTGTTGACTGGAGGATTGGGGTGAGGAGTGTGACTTGGGTAGTGTTGAGGAAATATGATACCAAAGCACTGATCTCTACCATCAGTGACTTGATAACCAGGCTATAAAACAATAAAAAATTGAAACAGGGCAATAAACAGACAAACATATGAAAGAGTTGTCCTTACTCTTTTTTCTTACATGTCTGGAAAAATTTTTTTAAATAAATTTTTATTTTTATAGAATTATTACATTTAACATTAAAATACCAAAATGTGTTTTTTTTTAATTTCATGGACAGAGATTTTTTTAAAATTATATATTTTAGTTAGAGTAAAGGAATCATTTTAGCATCTAAGTTATACCAATAGTATATTTTGTTAAAGATTGTAATGAGCCCAACAAACATTGATATTGCCACTAATATATATATATATATATATGTCAGATTGAGAGATATAAATAACCAGTTCCATATTCTAAAATCCTGTGGGATATGAACAAAACTGTTCTTTTTCATAACAAATATCAAATTCGATTTAATACATATGGTTGCAGTAAAGAAAGGATAAAACTAAGGGTCAACTGAGTTGTATCTTATTTGTAGTGTATAGTATATTTTCAAATTTTTAAAAGTGTGCAGAGCTCAAATCAGCAAAATTTTTTTTTTAAATTTTACAAATAGGTTAAAGTCATCAAGATAACAATAGGGATGTATGGATGGCATAATGATTATAGTTGAGTCTATCAGAAAAACTTTAGTTGGGTTTATACTTGAGTCAATGGTCATGTTTATACTTAAGTCTATAATTACACATTGGTTGAGTTAATACTTGGATTTATAGGTGTTAAATGGACATGTTTATACTTGAGTCTATAATTAAACATTAGTTAAGTTTATACTTGAGTATAGGCATATATTGGTCATGTTCATACTTGAGCCTCTAGATATACATTAGTGAGATTTATAGTTGAGTCTATCAGAAAAATATTGGCAGGGTTTATACTTGAGTCTATATACATATATTGCAAGTTTTTTGTGAGTTTATAATTAAACCTTGATTAAGTTTATTCTTGAGGCTATCAGAAAAAGAATATTGGTTGGCTGTATACTCGAGTCTGTAGATATACATTAGTTAGATTTATGTTTAAGTCTGCAAGTATCCTCCCAGAATGTGGCCCCTTTTATGAGGGATCATACACCACTGTAGAGGATCCAGTTGGTATATTCTAGGCCCTGACAGCAAGGGACAAGCTAGTTATCTTCAACCATGCAGAAAAAAAGATATTCTTGGACTTTGACATCTGAACCAACCATATTGTCTAGCCAAAATATCAGAATATTTAAATTTCATTGTCTTAAACAATGACAAGAGACGCTACCAGATAGTGAATGTAACTGTGCCAGTAGACAACAGGGTGAAAATTAACAAAAGAGAATAATTTGGAAAACTATCAGGACATTGGTCAGGAGCAGAGAAAATTGTGGAATATGAAGATCATGGTAATGCCTGTAGTAGTCAGTACACTGGAAGC